ACATTGACAAGTGTTGTGCTTTAAGCTACAGCGTGCATATTTGATTACTGTGTTCCCGTTCTGGCTGAACTCATGTGAAATCTGAGTTGTATGAACGTTTCCTTTTCAGTCTGATAAACTAAATTCCCTTTTAATAGCTCAGTGTATTTTTCAAGGGACAATCTAGACACCATAAACTATCCATCTTATTTCGGTGGTTATGGTGCTCTAAAACTGTCGCAGCAGTTTCAGCACTAAATTTTGTTTTGTTTGCTCCCTACAAGGCTTTGAAGCTGAACCTGCAGCACCGCCTTGCAACCCTGTCAATCAAAAAGTTGGGAATTATACCTCCAAGGTCTTGCGCCAACTCCTCCCAGTTAGTTGGTTACATCAGTATGCAAAGCTTAGTGTGATAGCAGTGAAGGCAAATCGACACTTTGTTTGGGGACCCTCCAGTTGCATTCTGACCCCTTATGCCGCCATGACCTTAGTCGAAGAGAAACATCTCCACATGCAAACTAGGCAAGTCCAAGGGTGGCTTGAAGAATATATTGGGAATTGTATTATATATAAACTGTTTGACCTTTTCATTCCCTTATAAATGTGTAGTTAAATCTAAACTAAAGGTGAAAGAAATATGTAGCATGTGATATTTTATATGCTGTTCACTTACAATGTTGCTGTATTATTTCTGAACGAGCCAATTTATCTCTACAAGTTTTACAACCATATAAATAATAAAGGAACACTCCACTGCTCAAATTAAACGCATTGTTTTATTGGGGGATATCTAAAAACGGCTAACAAAGCCTGCAGATTTCTTGTCTGCAGCCTTTGCAAGCCCTCCCCTTCTGGCCCCAACCAGACTTTCTGTGTCTGTCCAACCACAGACTTTTAAATGCAGCTCAATGAGAAGTCTTTGCAAGGCAGGAGCTCTGGGTAATTACTGCCTCTTGAGTTTAGTCTCACTGAGCTAACCAAACCAGGAAGTAACATGGCCTGCTGTCTGCTTGAATGCCAACGCTGTGTAACCAGGTTAATTTATAAAAGTGACAATTTCTATTAAAAACTGCACTTTTTGTAAAATGGAAAAAGGGGACACACTCTTCACATATAAAGCTTTTCAGTAAACTAAAGTGCTTCAAGTGTCACTTTAAGATCAATTTGGCGATAGAAAGAATGTTACATTAAATTATGAAGGGTTTATATGAGCTACATCAAAGATCAAACAGATCAGGCACATCCACTTACTATAGACTTTAGTTTTATAATCGCATTGGTTTACCAGCTGTTCTTCCCATTAACTTAATTTGGACGATTAAGCCGCTCAATTAATCTGCTATTAAATCCACATACATAACATATTACTGTTCTTGTTCTCCAAATAAATATTTCAAATTGTGAATTTAGATCCACCTAGACAAGAAAAGACGTTCAACAAATAAAAATACCATAAACATACCTCCCTACAGTCCCCATTTAACACAGATAGTCCCTATTTCGAGCTCAAATCCCTCTGCCCCCTTCTTTCTATCCCTCTGTCCCTCTTTAATAGGAGCTTCCTATTCTTGGTGTGTCTGAGTGTATAACAGAGCTCCACAGCAATAATACTCCCAGTAATGTGTCTGAGTGTATAACAGAGCTTCACAGCAATAATACTCCCAGTAATGTGTCTGTGTGTATAACAGAGCGCCACAGCAATAATACTCCCTGTAATGTGACTGAGTGTATAACAGAGCTCCACAGTAATAATACTCCCTGTAATGTATCTGAGTGTATAACAGAGCTCCACAGTA